ATCCTGATGATTTGCAGAACCTCGCAGAATTGAAGAAACCATGACTGCCTGTATCTGGAACGGCTTGCAGCAAGCATCTTTGCAGATCGATGACGTATCAGGTGCCGAGGGGCCCATGCACGAACATGCAAGCGAGCCCCCTGGCCTAAGACACCTTGCTGCAGTCTGGAAGTTTGGACTCTGCTCGGAGGAATGTACAAAGGATCCAACTGATGGGCTAGGCGACTTGCCCAACTTCTTATCCTCGACACTTGCTAAGACACCTCAGCGCGGCATTCCGGGCTCCCGGCCGTGGCTGCTGCAAGCAAGCTAGTCAGCCCAGCCATCCATGGTTTGAACAAGGTTTCTGAAAGCTCCAGTCGACAACTCGGAAGATGAAGGTCTGGATTTGGGAGCCATTCCATCTGAAACACGTTCAGCATGAGACTTGACCCTGGCAGCCAGACATGACCCGGAATGTTCTTTAGAAGCTTTCGGCGCATGGTGCTACTGCTGCGCAGCAGCGGCAGTAGCAGCAGCAGCAGCAGGCACAAAGGCTTCGGCACAGCGATGGCAAACTTCAAGTACGCATGAGGCCCTAGCGCCGCTGAAGCTTCCATGCCTCAAGCAATGCCTTCGGAATCCGCTGCCTTTGCACTAGAGCGCCCGAGCACGCACAACACCGGAGCATTGTCCCTGCGCCCCAGAGTTGGAAACACAAAGAATGCCTGCCAACGGCTCCACTGCAACAACCTGCCAGTGATAGCGCTGCCAAGGAAGCCCCTCCAAATCCTGCCACCACAAATCCTGTTGCACATCCAAGGGATGCTGCAACGTGATTTCTGGGGCAACACGGACAACGGCCAAGCAGACCGACACTCGACAGCCGTCGTCTTTACACAGCCCTGCGACATCCTGACCTTCAAAGCAGGGCAAGCTGCTCAGACAGCGAACACACGAATCAGTATTTGGCTGCGAAAGGCTGCCTCGCCAACGAGCCTGCCGACCCTCCCGATATCCGATCGCCTGGCACAAATCAAGAGTGGCCATGTGACGTTATTGCATGTTTCCAAAATATCCATCGGCCAAGCAGCTGAAGAAAAGTTCCAGTCCAAGCACACTATGCCACGCAGCGTGCCCCTGCTTCTACACTTCCGATTCTGGAACCTACATGAACTTGTTCCGACAATGACACTACTGCATTGCAAAATGATCGCATGAGTTGTCCCATGAGCCCCATGAGTCCCATGTTCACAGTCCTGAGTCCTGACCTGAAAGAACGACCGGCAGGAAAGCAGAAACTAACGAGAACATCCTTCACTCACTCTCACGGAGTGCATTCATGGACGTATCGCAAGTTCCCAGGCGTTCTCTCAAGCACATCCGGGTTTTCAGGCAGGTGGCACGCAGCCGGCTGTGAAATGATCACAATTTCAGACACCTGACCTGCATGAAGGCGGCTGTTTGGCTACAGGAGTAGTGCTACAAGGCCTCGGTTGAAGGTTTTAAGGTTTAGGGCTTAGGGTTTAGGGCTCACGATTAGCTGGGCTAGGTTAGCAGTGCTGCTACGAAGCGGTAAAACTCCCCCCCAAAGAATCCCACAACATTGAGAAAACAACACTTATCATTTACCTTCTTGTCGAGTCAACTATACAGTACACCTATTCTTGGCTTCCAACTTTAAACTGTTGCCCCATTTTGTTAACCGTAGTTGTCGCTCTCAGCTGCCTCAAGGTCAAAGCAAGCACACAGCACAGGAAAAAGAACATACTGTTATCCATAGTTGTCGCTCGCTCTCAGCCTAATTAAGATAAGGAACCAGCACACAACAGAGGAAAGACAATATTTTGTTAACCATGGGTTTAGGGATTAGGGTTTCAGGGCCCCATGTGCAGTTACAGTTACACCGAGATTGCCACTGCAGCAGATCTTAGTCATATACCAAAAGTTGGAAACAGAAGGTCTCGCGGCAGACTCGCGCTTATGCTGATGCCATGCGCTACACTGCACCAGGTCTTTAATAATGCTTTCGCGGCACACCCAAAGGCTCAGCCCTGCATGACCCCAATAGCTCTTGAAATGGCTGACTTCTGCCTCAGTGAAGAATCGCCCTGCGAATGCAAAGGCCGAGTCACCAGGTAAGAAATCTCTTCGCGATCGTTCAGTGATTCGAAAACACAAGTGTGCTGCTCAGTGGGGCTCACAAAACGGTAGGGCGGTTTGGCCTGCAAAATGACACGTGCAGGGAGCTGCCAGCTCAAATGCTGTCGCAAAATGTTTGCAGGCTGCAGCGGTGCAACGAATCAATGGACAGCTCGGCAAAACTTTTCAACTTCCTCACAGCCTGAAATCACTCAAGCGGTTTCAGCCGTCTCAGTAGTCTCAGCAGCTGCACCTTCGGAAAATCGGACACAGCACCTAGGCGACGTGAAGTGAAGTGAAGTGAAGGCTTGGCGGTCTCTGCTATCGGGTGTACCAAGGTGAGGTCGCGCAAGTGAGGTCTTCAGCGAAATGGATTTCACGTCAAAAAACACATCTTTCACATCAGATTCCTTTTTTATGCTGCAGCTTGTGCGGTCGCATGTCCAGTGACATGTGGGATGGCTGTCGGAGCCGTGTTCGAGAGTACAGCATACAGGATTAATTTATGGAGTTGTCAGCATCACAACGGGACATCTCTTATTTAATCCGACTCATCCATCTCCACGGAGGCCGAGGTTTCCTCGGACGAATCTACGCTCATTTCCTCAGCCTCGCTGAACAAGTGGCGGTTGACTGGCACCTGTGGCCGACGTGGAAAGACCCCAAGACCTTTCTACATGTCTACATGGACCCAGAACTCAAAACCCCACAGTCTTGAACTTTCTAGTCGTCGGCAAAAGAATTGTCAACCCAAAGAACTTCGCGTAGAAGGGATGGTATAGATTGGGTCCAGGGCTTCCAGTTTATATATTCGGGTCTAAGGAATCAGAGCACAACAAGCCCAAACTGTCTCCAAACACTGGAATCGAACCGATTCCGCCCGGTTCACCCCCCGCGGGGCATGCCTTACGGCACCAGCAGTTTATAAGGATTGAGAGCGGGAGTGGGGAGTGAGGGAGCGAGGGAGCAAGGGAATGAATGAGTAAGTGTGGAATGAGTGAGTGTGTGAGTGAACAGTCTACTGAAACTCGCCTTTAAGGGTTTGCACAGATCCGCCTCCGGGCGCGGTCAGCCTGCTTGCCAGATGGACATCGGGGCTTGAGACAACTCACTGCACCAGATACGCTTCCGGGCGTGGTTTCGGCCAAGCAAGAGTGTCAGTGAGGTACTTTGCCCGTAGCAAGGCCACCCGTGGCTCCAATGCTGCAGTAGGAGCGCGACCCAAAACAACATTGAGTCCACGCAAGCCCCCAGGGCCGAAGCCGCAAAACACCTGCCTGTCCCGCGGACAAGCGTTCGCCAGCCGCTACGTGCGCAGGTCGAAGGCTACAACATTCGCCCAGAAGAAATCATGTCCGTGGGCACTGCGCAAGGCGGACAGGAGCGGGTACCAGGTGGACTGCCGACCTAGCTGCAAGATCAAACCCCGCCTGTCCCACAAGGCCTGGACGGGTTGGATCACTGCTGCCGACAAATGCTCGACTGCGAGGCCTTCCGAAAAGCATTGCGAATGGGCCCAGGGTGTTGATGAGCAAGATCGCACCATCCGCAATCCGCTCAGAGCTTTGCTGCACAGGTGCTGCAGTAGCTGATCCGGACGCCAGTGTTTGATCCAGCCGACGTCCGTAGTTTGCAACCCCGTGCGTCTAAGTACCAGCACGTTGATGAGTTGCTCGTCTGGCAGCATCTCTCTGCTCAGGGGCCCCCAAGGGGCAACATGAAGGTTCGGCTTCGCCAGATGCTGAGAGTCGCTCACAAACTTGGCAAAGACGCCGCAGCGGCGGACGAAGTCGGGGCAGTGGCAGTTTCGCCCCGGGATGGGCCCCCTGTGCTGCAAGCAGGCACTAAGGCCAACTTGCAGCCGAGCGGCACTGGCGCTGGGAGCACATGCCTAAACCCCAAAAATCCTAAGGCCTAAACCCCGGAAATTCTAATGCCTAAACCCCCAAAACCCTAATGTCTAACCACAAAAACCGAATGCCTAAACCACAAAACCCTGATGCCTCAACCCAAAAACCCTAACGCCTAAGCCCGCCCCAGAACCCCTCAGGTTTTGGTTCCGTCGTATGTTGGGGCTTATGGTTTTGGCACATAGGTTTAGGTCCCAGGGTTTTTCAAGTTTTGGGATTTAGGCTCTAGGGTCCAGGTCCGGGCCGAGGGTATTAGGGTTTAGGGCTTGTTTGGGTGTTTTCCAAAGAGAGTAAACCATGATTTAACAAACCCCCAAGAAAGCAGCAACGCAGCAGAAGCAAGGAAACCACTTAAGGAGCTTCGTCTCCCAACCCTAGTGAAACCCGAATGAAATCTACGGGGCCCCTATAACCGAGAATGTGTGTCCTACCTACACCCATGTTGTGTGGTTGTCAGTCGGGCCTAACTTAAAACCCTAATGCCAATGGACCCACCAAAACTAGTAGGGAGCAGATAAAGGCAAGCACAGCTGCCAGCAATGCAAAGGGCAGGCAGGCAGCAGGAGGAGCAAAGAAGATCCCACGGCGGCGCAAGGCGGCCGTGGGCGAGATTGCGCGATGAGCTGCGGGTCGCATACGTACATACATGCATACATACAAACATACATGCATACATACGTACATATATCCACATACCCACATACATACACGCATACGCACATACAGGCATGGCGCTATGATCATGAGCATCGAAATCATGAGCATCAAACCCAGAACATCATATAATGAGTGCCAAACAAAAATCATGAGCATCAGAAGGACCACAAAACAGGAAAGCCGGGTTGCGATTTGAATGTCCGATTACTGGGAAAAATCTTTACAGGAGACTTTCTAGGAACCCCCTTAAGGGGTCTACTTTTTGGATCCTCCCACCGGTCTTGATTGTTCTTTTTCCAGCGACATGGCAGCTCAGTCCACAGGCACGAAGGTCATGGGCCTCGATGCCAGCGCGGCCTGTGGGAAGCCAGTTAAGGGCTTCGGATTTTTATTTAGGGATCTATAAGGGCTCCTATAAGGGATTCTTAAGGGTTCCTTTGAGGGATCTATCGCACAAGGGATCTATAGGATTTGGGGTTTAGGATTTGGGGCTCCCAGAGACTGCAGCATTCCCCTAACTAAGGAATATTCTTAGGATCTGTAATATGGTTTAAGGCACATTCCTTAGGCCCGTAGCCCTGAAATCCCTACACTAAATAACCCTTAAAAGAGCCCGACATAAAGGTTGATGGGACTGAGTGTTTCACTAGGCTGATAAAAAAAGGTGACTAGTAGGGCCGGAAAAAAGCACATAAGCAAAAATGAGGATAGGGATATCCCATATAAACCCTCTTAAAAGGAAGCCCGATCAGGTAGGGATATCCCCATAGAATGCTTATGCTTATGTGCTTTTCGGGTCCCTAAACTATACTTAACCCCAGTTAAGGTACTTATAACTGTACCCTCTGAGTCCCACGAACCTCCAAGTAAGCCCTACACCCTAAGCCCGAAGACTCGAGACCCGTCAACCCTTAAAGTAGCCCTAAGCTCTAAACCTGAAGTACTGCCCCCATAGAGCAATAATAGTCTATAATGAAAGTATTATAACGGGCATTATATATGAATTATAAATATGTTCAAAAGTTTCTAAGTCGGTGCAGTATCCCCTAAACCCTAAACCCGAAACCCTAAACCTAAACCTCCAACCCTGATTCCTAACCCTAAACCCTAAACCGTCTACCCCTCTAGCCTGGCCTTCTGGGGCGGCATGCGGGGATCCAGGAAGCAGAGAGGAGCCTCGAGCTCTTCGAAGTCGCCGGGATCGGAGCACTCGGGATCCTGGGCTTTTCTTCAAGGTTCCCTTTAAGGTTTAAGGTTTAAGGTTTAAGGTTTAGGGTTGAGGGTTAAGGGTACCCCTGGATTTCCAAAAAAGGGATTCCCATTAAGGTACTTTAAGGATCTTCTTAAGGAACTTAGCTTAGGGTAGTTGGATATTAGGATATTAGGATTGAGGCAACTTTAGAGCTTAGGGCTTAGGCTTAAGGCTTTTAGGGTTTAGGGGTTAGGGTTTGATCCTGGGCTGTTGCTGAGAAACCTTCGTTTAACTTGCAATGAGGGTTCTATTGAAACGGAACCGCACTACAGAACCCCATAATACGACTTAAAGGGAAGCCTATCATAGAACCCCATAGTACCCCGAGGTTCTATAATGGGGTTCTCAAACTTAAACCCTAAACCGAACCACCTTAACCCATTCCCACCCATAACTGGGTGCCCACGCACTGGGCCAAACCAATGGGTGGAGCCACGGAGAATGGTCGAATACAGCCTGCTCTGGGCTGTCAAGGTCCGCCGGCCAGCCACAGCTGGGCCAAAAATCCACCAGAACCACTTGGTTCTCCGCTTCGACACCAAACCCATCAACAGGGGGTCATGCTTTAAAGGGGTCCCTAAGCTGGCCGTTTCCAGGGACCCTGAAATTCTGACCCTTCTTGGCCTCCTGGCCCTTGACCCCCCTTGGCCCCCTGCCGCCTTCCTGCCCACTGTGCTCGCCCTTCCTGAGCCGTTCCGAGTTGGGGCTTGCGCCCTAAACCTAACACGAAATGGTTTCGGTGGTTGCCTGCGGTATCATCACAGCCGGCGGGATTCAGACAACTTTCGGTTTCACCGTGTTCTATGACACATGCAAGGAAGGTCGCTTCAAGCATAATATGCCGCCACCCACAAACCCTGGTGTGAGGTGGCGCCATCCTAGCATGGATTACCAGCCACTGCCCAAGAAGACGCCGTTTACACTAAACCCTAAACCTTAACCCTAAACCCTAACCCCTAAACCCAAAACCGTAAACCCTAAAACCCTAAAACCCTAGACCCTAAACCCTAAAACCCTCCTAAACCCAAAGTCCCCAACAAGAACCCAGGATCTGGCACCGCCGGAGGCTCCGGTGCCTCTGGGGCCACTGGCCTTGGAAGTAGTGCTCGTTGCTCAAGGCTTCGGGCATAGTGTTTAGGGTTTTTAGGGTTTAGGATTTAGGGTTTAGGGTTTTAAGGTTTCGGGTTTAGGTTTAGGGTTTAGGGCTTAGAGTAACGCCCGAACCCTAAACCCTTAACCCTACACTCTAAACCCTATAGATCCTTTTACAGGAACCCTTATAGATCCCTTTAAAGGAACCGTCAAAGAACCCGAAACAACTAAGCTCTCGGCTCCGGGCAGGGAGCAACGGGCCGGAGGGAGGCCAGAGCCCACGCAACGATCCTCGCGCTCGCTCCGTCCATCTCCGGTAGCCGACGTTCGAGCCTCGGTTGAGGGTTTTTTTTTAATGCAATGGCTCTTTAAAATGCAATGGCTCTTTCTCCGGTTGAGGGTTTAGGGTTTAGGGTTCCCCAGAAAAACCTGTTACCAACAAGGCTTTGAAATGGGTGTTTGCAAGGTTTACTAGGTTTAGAAGGGTTTTACAACCAACAAAGATGAGGTTTAGGGTTTAAGGCTTAAGGTTACCGGGTTTCAGTGTTGCGTTTTGTTTAATACATGCTCATAGGGCTTTGAGAAGGGGTTTTACAAGGTTCAAGGTTTGGGGTTTAGGGCTCTGGGTTTGAACTTTGTTCCTGAGTCCATAAGCCCCAAAAAGTGTACACTTTTAGTTTTGCGGGTAATATTATCCCAAAAAGTGTAAAGTGTATCCACTCAGCTACTAAGTGTTTGCCAGCATTTACAGGAGACCCCACAGTAGACCAAGCCTGTCATAGCAGTAGTACCGGGGGCGGAAGCACGAGACCCACTTATAAAGCCCTATAGACTCTGCACTTCTGAACCCCCCAATGTGCTCATAAAAGACGCGGTAAAGCCCTGAAAAAAAATCATACATTTCAAAAAACGCTTGCGAAACTCTCCGAACCTAGCAAAAGCCTCTACGTAGTGACGATGTACACAAGCCCTCTCCTCTCAACAGATCTAAACCCTAAAACTCTAAATTGCAAAACAATATCTAAACCCTAAACCACCAAAAGAAAGTGCTATATCTAAACCTTAAACCTTACACCCTAGAAAAAACAGAAAGACTCAAGGCCTTCAGGGAGCGCCAAGAGCAGGCGCTGGGCGCCCGCGGGCCGTGCAGTGGCGCAGGCCCAGGCCAGCAAAGACGCGTCTTCGGCGCCGAAGTCGCAGAGCCTCTTGGGGGGAGGGCTGAAGGAAAGGGTTCATAGGGTACTATCATAGGGTAATATAATAGGGTGCTATAACAGGGTACGTTTTCTATACCCCCCTTAGAACCATAATAAAAGTAGTATTCTTCTAATATTCTCTTGGGTTTTACAATACAAAATTTGAAAAAAAAATCCTAAGGAGACTATAGTCTCAGGGTGCCTTGGAGGAAAGGGTTCCCAAAAGGGTTCCTTAAAGGAACCCCAAAAGGAGCCCTTTAAGGGCGCCCCTTAAGGAATCCTTACTTAGAGGAAGCCTTAAGGAGTCCGTTAAAGGGTTCTTCTAGGCATTCCACGTTTAGAAACCCATTCAGGGTTCCCTTGTTAAGGGTATTTGGGGTTTGGGAAAAGGTTGAGGGTTTCGGGCTCAAGAAGTTCTTCTGGGCTCCTTGTACAGTAAACCCCAAAAAGTTGGAAACCGGGTTAAGGCCAAATAGTGCTGGGATTCCCTATACATGACTCTTAAGGATTGAGGCTATGGGGTTTCCAACTTTTAAGCTTCTACTGTAGGGCCTCAAAATTAACAATTAGAATAGGGTTCCTTTTGAAGGCTGGCTTCCTTTCAAAGGCTCTACGTATAAGGGATCTGTAATTTGGCTCTATAAGCTAGGCGCGTTAGGAATTAGAATTTGGGTTTCCAACTTTTGGTCTTTTCCTGTAGGCGTTCCTTTCCAGGGTGCCTTGGAGAGTCGCTCCAAAAGGATCTTAGGGGATTAGAGGCTTTATGTAAGGGGTTTGGGGTTCAGGGTTCCGCTGAAGGATTCCTTCAAGGATTCCTTAAAGGGTTTCTGTTGGGGGGGTTGTTAAGGTTTAGAGTTTAAAAAAATTTAGGGTTTAGGGTTCAGGGTTAAAGGACTTCTGTTTGGGATGGGGTGGGGTGAAGGTTTAGGGTTTAGAGCGTGAGGCTTAGGGGTCGGTCGGACGTTCGTAGTCAGTGGGGAGTTTGGGGTTTAGAGAAGCCGCAATCTCAGCGCCTCCGGTGGCTAAGGGCTGAAAGAAGACTTAGTAGGCCCTTGAATGTAATAATTAGCTGGCCATCATCTTGTGGATATAGTTTATACAATGCTTGTATAATTTATACAATGCTTCTAGTGGGTGGTTTGGTGAGCATCACTTCAAGTGAGTAACCCTGATTGGATGTTACAGTGCTTCTTTATGTATGTATATATACTATATATATATATGTATATATATATATATGTCCATATATAGATGCCACAAAAAACACTTGCAAAGCCCATAACAAGACCCCATCAACAAAACCCGATTCTGCTTATTAACATCCCCAGAATATCAAGCCCTTTAGCCTCCCTTCGGCGAGCTCCATGGCTGAGTGCAGCAGGCGTCGCAGGTCCTCTAGGGCCCCAAAAAAGCACATAAGCAAAAATGAGGATAGGGATATCCCATATAAACCCCCTTATAATGAAGCCCAATAAGGTAGGGATATCCCCATAAAATGCTGATGCTTATGTGCTTTTCGGGTCCCTAATCCTCGTGCGGCTCGCCGCTTTGCAAAGAGGCCGCAGACCAGCAGATACGTGCGAGGCAGGAAGCTGACAGTTCACGCAAACCTGGAATTGGGGTTTAGGGGTTTAGGGTTTAAGGGTTTAAGGTGTAGGGCTTAGGGTCTTAAGGTTCAGGGTCTTGATTCCGAAGGATTCCTATATGCAGAAAATCCTAAATTAACGCTTTTCACATCTATCTCTCTATACATATACGTATACGTACATGTCTACGTCTACGTCTGCATCTACATCCACATGCACATACGCATAGACATAGACATCGACATAGACTTATACGTGCAGATATACACTACTTATACAAATACATATACATATACATATACGTGTACGTGTACGTATACATATACCTCTACCTATACATGTGTATGTTAGGTTGTCTAGACATAAAAAGGTGTAGATATTTTGCTCTCCGTGTTATGGCCATGTAAAGTCCGTATAAAACTGAACGTGAACCCAAGGAACGGTCCAAGCTTGCATTGGCAATGGTCAGCAAAACCCGCTTGTCCAAGTTGCCCCGTAGAAGCGCACAGGCTCCCAGCGCTTGCTCCACCTTCTCTGCTTTAACCTCTGGGTGCTGCAAGACGGAGCGCATGCGAAACAACAGCGTCTCGACCTCGCCGCCCTCTTCCAGAGACCTTGGCTCACTTCTCAACCCCTCCTGGAAGTTGCACTGGTTACCCCTGCTGCAACATCCCTAGACCCTAAACCCTAAACCAGAAAACCCAAAAAAACAAAGTGACAAAAGCCGGGCAGAAGAGAGCCAAGAGACTTCAGGGCTGCAGATAAGGCTTGGAGGAGCTGCTGCTGCCTCGCACGGGGTGGCCAATGCTTTTACGAATTGCATGTAGGGCTTAGGATTTAGGGGTTTAGGCTTTAGGGTTTACGGGTTTAGGGTTTACGGGGTTTAGGGTTTAACGGGTTTAGGGGTTTAGGGTTCAATAATTACATAAAGGTAGTTTCTGTACGGGTTTCTATGTGGGCTTTCTAGTATTTCTTCGAGTTTGGAGGGTTGAGGGTTGTTCTGATGCTTACCTGTGACTCCAAACCCTACTAAATAGTAGGTTATGACCCCTTAATTAGAGGGTCTGACCCTTAAAACGGTAGGTTTTTGGATCCCCAGGTAAGGCTTTGGGGTTGGGGATGTACGAGTTCAGGGCTGTAGGGTTTGGGTTTTCGGTCCGTACTAAGAAAAATCACTATATGTTCTTCCCAAGGGCTCGGTGACCCTATAAACCACATTACCAGACCTGCAACACGATACAAAATCACATCATAAAACCTATCTTGTTTGAATATCTTACTAATCGCAGATACCAAAAACAGCCCTTTTGCACGACCTATAACGCAACCTAATGTGGTAGATACCAAAAAAACCTATAACGCCGCAACCCTAAACCCTAAACCCTAAATCCTAACCCTAAACCCTAAACCCGAAACCGCCACGTGCCTCGCAGGCGTCTTCTCCATCGGGCCGTGAAGCTCGCTCACGAAGCAGTTGATCGCAAGCAAAGCCTGGCGAAAGCATTGGGTTCAGGGCTCCCCTTAGAGGTTTAGGGGCTCGGGTATAGGGTTTAGGGTTTCGGGCTCTATGATAGGGTTCCCTTTAAGGGCTGGGATTTAGGATCTACTTCCAGGTTCATGGAACGGAAGCAATAACTAGGGCTACAAATAAAGTATAAGTATAGCCATACTTCTAATTAGCTACAAACCCAGTGCAGGTACTTATAACTGTACTCACTGAGGGCTTACGGCGCAGATGTCGGCTTTACATGCAGGGGTTTAGTGAACCCTATACGATATCTTCTGTGAACTTCTGTGCATTCATGAATGCGTGCTGCAGGTCGTAAGTACATGCTGCATATGTGCATCTGTGCATGTACCCATGTGCGCACGTACGTATGTATGTATGTGTAGGTATGTATGTATGTATTTATGTATGTCTGTGTTCGACGGATCGAAAACACTCTTTTAAACTTTTGAAGAACTACCACAAACTCTAGCTTCAACAGCTGCAAAAATACCATTGTTTGAAGCCATAGAACTAGAAAACCCTGCTCTCTCTCGTTCGAAGGCGCAGGAATGACCGCATCGTCGGCAGCAGTGGCTGGACTAGAGTGAAGCCCCAAAGACCCAAACTCAAAACCCTAAGCACTTAAAACGAAGCCAAGAGTCTATGAGCCCAAACCTCAAATCACGGAAACCCTGAAAACATCGAAAACAAATATACAACATATCAGACATATATATATATATATATACATATGTAGCGCCCAACAAAAACTGAAAAGCCTCCCGAACTCTTGGATTCGTAGTGCTCCGGACCGACTCAGCAACGTCCGGAGGCAGGGCCTGCTACAAAGCTCTATAAGGGCTCCTTCAAAGGGTATTATAAGGGGTACAAAAAGGGCTCCTTCAAAGGGTTCCGTAAGGGTTGCTACAAAGCTCGCTTCTTGCGGTTTAGGGTTTAGGTTCAGTTTCTTACGGCTTGGGGGGGTGGGAGTTTCAGGCTTGGGTTAAGGGTTTGGGGTTTAGGGCTCAGGGTTTAAGGTTTAGGGTTTAGGGTTTAGGATTCAGGGTTTAGGGTTTAGGGTTCAGGGTTTAAGGTTCAGGGCTCAAGGTTCAGGGCTTAAGGTTCAGTGTTCAGCGCGCTTTGAAATGCTTTTAAGGGTTGTGTGTAAGGGGTTTGAAACGGTAGGGCTTTGGGGTTTGGGTTGAGCGGCTACTTCGCCTTAAGATTTGGCGCTTGGAGTTTAGCGTTCCTAAAACTCAGAGGAAAAAGAATTCATCAGGGTTTCAAACCAACTTTAAAGAGGCAAACAAGGAAAATTGGTTTAGACGTGTCTGATAACAGCTTTACAGAAAATTGGTTTAGACGTGTCTGATAACAGCTTTACAAGGGCTTCAAATGTACTGAAACGGGCTTCTACGGGTTGCTGCAGTCTCAATATGGGTGCAAAGTGCTTGTAGGCTTCAGGGTGTTGGTGCTTCGGTGTTCCATACATGGCCAGCAACTTGGAAACTCCAGGTTAACCTGTGGGAGTATATTGGGACTTTAGTACCCCAAAAAGGTTGAAGGCTACCTGCTCTACTATGAAGAGCCCCTTAGAAGCCCTATCATAGAACCCCTATAGAGCCCTTATAGAACCCCCTATAGTACCCTAAAATTGCTAGAACCCTTTAAAGGATCCTTTAAAGGAACCTATACTCCATTTCTTATACAGTTGTTGCCCTTATAGAACCCCCTATAGTAGCCTGAATCCCGTTGTTTGCGTTCGGGAGCGTTTGCCGCGTTTTTTTGTCGGAAAGGCGAAAGCTCTTAGCGGCCTTCCGGGGTCAGGGTTTAGGGTCTAGGGGGTTTGGGGTTTAGGGTTTAGGGTTTAGGTTTTAGGGTCTGGGGGGTTTTGGGGGGGTTTAGGGTTAAAAAAACCTTTCGGGAAGGCGAAAGCCAGGACCTTGATGGCCTTGTTCCTGGAAGACAATGGCAACTCTTTGATTGGCTCCTGGAAAAGTTGCCCCAACGACTCAAAAGCCCGATTCACATCTGTGCCGCAGATAAGCGGTAATCTCGGTCCTTTCCCTGAGCGGCTCGAAGCTGTTGTTTTTTCTCCCAGTCATCAGAAGCCAGCCGCAGAAATTTATGCATCAAACAAACTGGAACTGTCATAGCAAGGCGGATCAGAACCAAGAAAGGGCCTGGAGAGGCAGCCACCCAGTTTGCCACCAACTGTTTCATGGATTGGTTGACAGCAGCCCAGTCGACAGGATTGCCGGAAACCTTTGTTCTCGAGTCCAACGAGGAAACATTGGACCCTTTCAACATGCTATGTCCCATGACCCTTCAAGTAATAGTCGGCGCCGTTCCAAGGGTTCGTTCAATTATTCTAGACCTAAGAGTACCAGGAATAAAAAGGGTGCCCTTTTTGGTTTAAAGGGGCTCATAACGGAAAAAGCCTTACAAAAAGGGAATAAGAGCTTATTCTAGGACCTGGTATTCCAGGTTCTCGGGTTTGTGGGTTAAGGGCGTTGGATGTAAGGCCGTGAGGTTTTAGGGCTTGAGGGTTCCCACGAAGGGTGGGGGGTCATGAGAAGAACTATTTCAATGGATACTGAATAATTAGAATAAGGCTGTTGGGGCCCATCAAATGATTATATTATCATTATAATAAGGCACCCCCAAACTGGTATAGACAATTATTACGGTCCCCATAGTACTCCAAGGGTTTCTTAAAAGATCTATCGTATTTGCAAGTATCAGGCGTTTTAATAACTGGAGTTACACATCATGCAACCATACTCCTCCTGCGGTTTAGCTTGGGGCTTTACGCTTCCGGGTTCAGGGTGTAGGGTTTGGGGTTTATGGTTTAGGGTATAGAGTGCCCCCAACCCCATCCCCGGGGAACCTTAAGCAGGCGTTCAGTCTGGACATCGAGCACCTCCGGCACAGCCTCGGATGGTTTTTGGCGTTGGAGGAGTGCACGCATAGTTGAAATCGACTTGGGATAATTTTAACTTGCCTTAATTTTGTTTTCATGTGGAGCCCGAATTTGAAATAATTTCTGGGACTGTTTAAATCGACAGTTTGTAGTGTATGGAACTTGTTCAGGCTCTTAAAGGGGTTCCAAAGGTTTGCAAATCCCCAAGCAGTGTGGCAACACTACAGGCTTCTTCTGTTTAGACTAATTAGACTTCTTTAATGGTTGCTGAGGCAGCCTCCGTCCCCAAAACAGAGGCCAAAAATATGAAGAATGAGGTTAGAAAATATTCAGAATTACTATTTCTTTTTTTGCATCCATGGGGTTCGGGCCCAGTGAGGGTTTTACCATGTACGGTTGAGAGTTACCTAAAGCCTAAACTACCCTTCCAGCCCTAAGCCCCAAACCCCGATCTTGCCACAAATAGGTATGCCCAAAACCCCTAAACCCTAAACCCTAAACCCTAAACCGCCCAAAATCCCTAAAACCCCCCTGAAACCTGAAGCTTGACACCCGACAAACCCTCACTAACGCACTCGGAGCGACCATGCAAACCGCAAAATCTAGAAGAGCTTCTAATCCCAACACGATCAAACACCGAATTAAAGCCCCAGAAAGCCAACATTAAACCTAGAAAAACCAAGAAGCCCTAGACAACCTTCATAATGAATGTTACAAGGATAAACCTCGCTTCTGAGAGGTTTGAATAGAGTTAACTACTGGGGCTTGGGGTTGAGGGCTTACGGGTTTGGGTGTAGCATTTATAAGCTCCTAACCCTAAACCCTGCACACTCAATACGAAACCCTACCCTATATGCCCAAAACCTAAATCCTAGACCCTATAGACCCCAAACCCCATCGACCCTAAACCCTACACTCTACACCCTACACATTATAAAAATTAAAAACCCGTGTGGGCGTTTCCGAAAATAGGGGACCCTAATAGTATACAGTACCCCAAACAGTAGGATCCGTACTATAAGGAACCCAAGTTAAGGTACTTCTCATTTTCGGCAACTCCCGTTTAGAGTATAGAGTTGCAGGCCCAGCCTCGGCCTCCGTGTCGGAGTCTTCGCCCAAGACCTCAAACTTCTGATACCAGCCTCAGAATTTCTTAGTTGCTGAGTTCATAAGCGCCAAAACGTGTACACTTTTAGTTCTATGGTGGGTGATACGGTTGATGATATAAATCCTGCATTACCCATAACAAGGATCATACCAAAATTCCCATAGTTTAGGGTCCTTAAGGTAATGCAGGATTTATATCATCAGCCGTATTATCCCAAAAGTGTAGAGTGTATCCACTCAGCTACTAAGATTTCAGGCATCCTCCGGGTTCCTGTAGTAAAGGGCTCCGTAGAGGGTGCACCTAAACCCTAAACCCCTAAACCCCCAAACCCTAACACCTAAACCCCTGAACCCCGAAAACCTCTAAACCTTAAACTCCTAAACCCTATACATTAGAGTCCCTTCTAGGGTTCTGAACCCGAAAACCTCTAAACCTTAAACTCCTAAACCCTATACATCAGAGTCCCTTCTAGGGTTCCTTAAGGGCTTTCTTTCAGGGGTTTAGGGGGGCTTCCGGGTTCATCAAAGTGCTCCTGAAAGCGTTCCTTCCTTAAAAGAATCCTTAGGATTCCTTATGGAAGGGTTTATGGTATAGGGATTGTCAGGGTTCCTAAAGGTACCTGGCGTGGTGGCAGGGTTCCTAAAGGTACCTGGCGTGTTGGCAGAGGTATCCAAAGAGATCCGGCCTGATCTGCGTTCCACGCTCCACCTTGGGAGACGAGGCAAGGAAGACATTTGCCGTCCATCTGTCTATGCTCTGAATCCGAAGGGTGTGCAGCGGGTTTTTGAACAGATGAGGTCTGGGTGGACGGTGTCGCAACCGGCTGGGTGGATGTTACCCAGTGGCTCCAATATCCTTTAGATAAGGAAGATTCCTCTATATCATATTAGGGGTCTTTTAAGGGTCTTACGGTGTTTTAAGGTATATTCGTTTGATATGAAATACTGGTAGTCTCTAAGGCTCTCTAAACCCTAAACCTTATAGATCCCTTAAAGGAACCCTATATACATCCCTTAAAGAGCCCTGGGTATTCCGTACCTCTAAAAGGGATATTGGAGTCTCTGGGTATCATGGTTGGCCATGGATGCTCTCAGGAGCGGATGACGTCTGGGTCGAGGTTACCACTTGGAGGGTCGGGGGACTTTGTAAGTAGTTATTTTATAGACCTATAAGTATCGTAACCCCAATTAGGATCCCTGTTAAGGTACTCACAAGTCTACTTATGACCTACTTACTAAGTCCCCCGACCGTCCAAGCATGGCTGGCTCACATGGGTGCGGCAGGAAACCACCAGATGTTTCATGTGCCTGCTTCCCAGAGACTCCAAAATCCCTTGATTAATGAATATACCTTAAATCATACCCTCCAAAAATTTAAGGTATATTCCTTAATCAAAGGATATTGGAGTCTCTGGGTTTCCTAAACCTTAAACCCTAAAATGAATTTCAAAACTCCTTAATTAAAGTATCTTGCAAACCTAGTCTCTTCGGCTTCAAAGGCTTTTGTAGCACTGTAGCACTTCAAAAAGGGTATTTTGAGGGTTCTATAAGTTTTGAACGTTTACGGGACTTAAGCAAGGGTCGAGTATTTGGCAGAACTACCTATGTATAAGTCTAGTTACCTGGCCTTATAAGCCTGACTTCTAAGTCCCATGATCCTACTAGCAGGGTTCCTGAAAAGCCTTTCGTCATGAGGCGTCTTAAGGTCTTCCTTTGTATTTTGAGGATGCGTAGGGGTTCAATCTTAGATTGGGGTTGACGGAGTTGTTCAACGGGGCTGCTAAAGCTGTTATCATGATACAACTTCATCGAGTCCAAGGTGTTGAAATTAGGCTTGTTTGTGAGATGTTGGGTCTTTGTTTAAGGTTTTGGGTTTAGGGCAGGAATTGAGTGCCTGGTACCGGTCTTGATTTCCTGCTTCTCCCAACACAATGGGGTTCTTAATTTAGGGGCTCAAAATATGTGTTAATATCATTATCATAAGGAACCCTAAGGGGTATTAGTTACTGTTAAAACAGGCTTCTATAGTAAACCTAAATTAAGATAACTAAGCATTTAGGGTACTCAGTTTTCATGGAAACCGTACCGCTCTCTGACAAAACCCTCACAGGACCCCCTTCAAGGAACCCCAGAGGTGCTTACGTTCAGTAAAGACGGTGCTGGTTAGTGTTCCCGCAAAGCGTGCCGAGTAGTACACGCCGCGGCCACACGCGGTAAGTCCGTGATAGAGTCTGCAGACGTCTCGGGTTGGCGTTTAGGTTTTCGGGTTTCGGGTTTCAGGGGTCGGGTTTCCTCAAGCCTAGACCCTATCCCTTAACCAAAGGGCTTCGGGTGTATTTTCGGGCTTTGTTGTTCAGCGGAAGATGCTTTCTGCTAGAGTGGACCTTGGAACCCTAAACCCTAAACCCTAAACCCTGAACCCTAAACCCTAAACCCTGAACCCTAAACCCTGAACCCTAAATGAACCCTAAACCCTAAATCCTGAACCCTAAACCCTGAGCCCTAAAGCCTAAACCCTGAACCCTAAACCCTAAACCCTGAACCCTAAACCCTAAACCCTGAACCCTAAACCCTGAACCCTGAACCCTGAAACCCAAATCCCCGGCTTCATCCAGGCTGCGTTCCACACCGGCCATCACCGCAGCGAGGCCGGCCGTGCAGGAGGGTTTAGGGCTTTAGAGGTTTAAGGGTTTAGGGTTTAGGGCTTTAGGGTTTAGGGTTTAGGGCTTTAGGGGTTTAGGGGTTAGGGTTTAAGGCTTTAGGGGTTCAGGGTTTAGGGTTTAGGGGGCTTAGGGGTTTAGCATTTAGGGCTTTAGGGGTTAGGGGTTTAAGGTTTAGGGCTTTAGAGGTTTAGGGTTTAGGGTTTAGGGGTTTAGGGTTTAGTGTTTAGGGCTCTAGGGGTTTAGGGTTTAGGGCAAGCCTAGCAGGGCGTACTTAATGGATCATAGGTCTTCGAGGTTCTCAGAGACCCCAATATCCTTTCATTTTGGGGAATATCCGTGACACTATAGTAGGATCCCTAATAGGATTTAAGGAATATTCCTCAATTAAGGGATATCGGAGTCTCTGGGTTTTGTTGGGTTCGATCGGCCGGTGATCTCTTTATCTGTTCCTAACACCGCCTAACCCTAATTTTGACAACCACCCATATACAGCCCCTTAAAACAGAAACCTCAAGTAAAGTAACCACCCACCTACATAAGTTTTGCGTGTTGGGTTGAGATTTTGGAGTTTAGAATTCAGGGTTTAGGGTTTGAGGCTTTGGGTTGGGGTTTCGGGTTTAAATCTTTAGGAATTTGGGGCCCCTTCGAGGGGTTCTGGGATGATGAATGATTGCGTTGGGTTCAGGGTTCAGGGCTCAGGGTTAAGGGTTAAGGGCCGTTGAGGGTTTAGGCTTTTTGCCTTGCGCTGTAGGGTGAAGTGTAGGGCTTAGGCTTCAGGGTTCGAGGTTTTGGATGCTGGCAGTATACCTCGAACAGGAACAGCTGCGGAAAAAGGATTGCGTAGCCCGAAGAACGCGACCTTGCAAGATGCTCTATACTTATGCAACCCTCCAAAAACTAGCCGAACCCCCAACCCCGTTGCAATCCCCGTCCAAAATCCTAAAACCCTACGAACTGAGGCCCTAATCTGAACAGCACCCCACTTGGAGGTTCATAGGACTTAGTAAGTGAGTGCAGCTAGTAGTACCTGAAAGGGGATTATAACTAATTCGCAGTATAGGTGCCTTGCTTATAACTTATAACCCCAGCTACTCAGTGCCATGACCCTTTCAATAGCAAGAATTAAGCACCTGGGAAGCGCAAGGTTCAGGGGAGTAGTTACTAAAAGCAGGTTCTTATAGACCCATCCTGAAGATAATGTAAGGTGTCCCGGAACTCTAATCAAGTTATTAATAAGAAGAAGCCTATTATAAGCATCTGGGTTATGTGGGATCTTACATCGGACTTCCGGGTTTTAGGGCTTTAGGGTTTAGGGTTTAGGGTTTAGGGTTTTAGGGTTTAGGGTTTAGGGTTTAGGGTTTTAGGGCTTTAGGGTTTCACGGTTCCGGGCTGTAACGTTTGGGGCTTTAGGCTTGGAGTTGCTAGAGTTCGAAGTCCGGCCCTCTAGGTTTAGGGTTTAGGGTTTAGGGTTTAGGGGGCTTAGGGGTTTGGGGTTTAGGGTTTAGGGTTTAGGGGGCTTAGGGTTTAGGGGGCTTAGGGGTTTAGGGTTTAGGGTTTAGGGTTTAGGCTTTAAGGGTTTCGGGTGTTGAGGGGGCAGCATAGGGTGTGTGCTTTCAGGCTTCAAACTGTTCTGCTTTGGGGAAAACGGCTTAAGGCTTTCGGGTGTAAGGTTTCCCCTAAACCGTAAACCCTAAACCATTCGGGGTTTCGGGTTAATTGGTAATACTGTCCTCTTGCAGACCCAGTTACACGTGTAGTATACCCCAAAACCCTGTCCTGACTATCCCATAGGCTCCGATAACCCATAATCGAGCAAAATTCCTCAAATTGTTGCAGGATCCCGAATGTGATTTAAGGTATATTCCTGGATTAAGGGATATTGGAGTCTCTGGGTTTTAAGATCATTGTAGTAGGCTGCCTGGCGAAGGAGGGAATCCAACTCATCCATGGAGATGGATCCGACATACCTGGCTGAACGACAAACTCAAAACGAATAAGGTGGTGATGTGGAGTTTAGCGCTAGGCATCAACAAAGAGAGATAATAGGAGCCCGAGGTACAGCTAAAGAACCATGCTAGTGACAACCTAACACTCCTAGACTCGCGGTGGTAATAGTAACAAGCCCAGAAGTGCCGACATCAGGGATCATGGCAATGCTGCCTTTTGCAATGCGTCAGGCAGGATACGGGTTGACGTGCTTGGACCGGTTTAAGGTTTAGGGTCTAGGGTTTAGGGTTTGGGGCATTGTCCGACAACGGCTGAACCGAGAACGGCTCCCAACATGAGTTTGTTGGGGACCCCTGTGTAAACTGCGAAGACGACGCAACAACCGTGGATGCACGGGAACTGCCATGAACACCAATATCGGAGGGTTGGTAGTTACCTGTACTATTTTGGGGGTTCATTGTAGCATAGTGGGCCCCAAAACCCTGTTTTAATTATTAAGGGCCCTATAGTATCTGATCCAGAAGTTGCTTGTTGCTGATGTAGCAGGGGGAGCAAAAGGAGGAGGAGGAGGAGGCGGAGGAGGAGGGCAGCAGCAGCAGCAGCAGTGACAAAGTGGTTGGAATTGTCGAACTAGTAGCAGTAGCAGTAGCAGTGGCAATAGCAGTAGCAGTGGCAGTAGCAGTACTGCTGTAGCAGCAGCAGTAGCTGTAGTGGTAGCGGTAGTGGTAGTGGTAGCGATAGCGGTAGTAGCAGGGGCAGCAGTGGGAGTAGTGGCAGTCGTGCCATTACTATCACCCTAACTCCTTCTTCCAAAACCCTACACCCTGACCCCAAACCCTAAAACCTTAACCCTAACCCTCAGACCCTAACCCTAAACCTTAAACCCCTGGACTCGAAACCCTTCCTTGTACCCCTAACCGCCGTAAGGCCCGGCCATCTATCGTAGGAATCCGAACCGACTTCCTTTAATAGGGTTCCTCTAACGGCCTCTATTTAGGGATTACTGTAGGGGCATGTGCTGGGGTTCAGTGCATGGGCCTTATAGGTACCTTAGACTATAACAATCAGTAAGGCAGCCCTAAGCCCTAAACCCTAGACCCTGGGGCTTTAAATTCCCGTACAAGGTTTGGAGCTTACCCAGAAACTCCAAAAACCTTTAATTAAGGAATATTCCTTAAATCATACTAGGGATCCTACTATAATTTACAGTACATTCCTTAAATAAGGGATATTGGAGTCTCTGGATATGGCGGGAACGAAGTCCCTACAAAACTGGAGGTTGCCTTGGTTTAGGGTCTGGGTTTCGGGCATTCGAGTTTAGGGTTTAAGGTTTCGGGCATTCGGGTTTCATGTTCCGGGCATTAGGGTTTAGGGTTCCAAAACCGTATGACAAACCAAAAAAACAGTCACGAAACCTTAGTCAAGTGGTTGTGGAATCTCGCGGCATGTGCCCGGGTCACTTGTTTGCGTCGTCCGCCTCCGGCCGCTGTACGGTCAGCTGCGAACCCCTTTGCAGTGGGGTACAAGGCTTTGAGGGCCTCAATTGCAAAGACGTACGAAGAGGTTCATGGGACTTAGCAAATACAATTATACGTACGTCCCATGAACCTCCAAGGAAGGATCGTCTGCATGTCTTTCCAACAAGGGACTAGCGGGGTTTGGGCCAATGCAGCCCAGGAGCGTCAGGTAACCAGAAGCATCCACAGCTACTGATGAATTTTGGGTTTAGGGCTTCAGGATGCTTTAGGCACTTAAGGTTGAGAGTTGCGGGTTTAGGGATATGAGGGTTTTCCGAAAATAGGGACCCCAATATAGTACACGTAATGGTAGGATCCATATTGCAATGAACCCAAAATACGGTACCCCTAATTTTCGGAAACTCCCATATAGACACCTCAAGAAGCCCTCAGAAGAGTCATCAAGTCCTCACGGCGAAACCGTGCCTCGCGAAGAACAGAAGCGCCGGTGCTGCCCAGATACCCAGCTGGTGGGCGCGATGGGCCTAGCCATGCAAGCTTCACGACCCGAAGAACAGAAGCTGTGTTTGATCAAGCTTCGAGGTTGCTGCCTAGCTAAGCTTTGCAGTATGCTTGAATCTACCCGCCGGAGCATTGAGGGGGATACAAGTTCACTGTCGTCAGCGGGTAGAGACCTCCTTTTGCTGTTTGTCGTTTATCATGTTTGTTTTTGGTCCGTTTTCCTTGCTTTGAGGACGTGGTGCCAGGGGCACACTGCTTGCGCTGGCAGTAGTGCTGGCAGTAGCAGTAGGCATCATCCATTGTGGCGATTCCGGCTCAGAATACAAATACGTTGAACACACCCCCTTTATCGCCCCCTCAGTCGGCGACTACGCTTCATCATCACACACCCCCTCCTTTGGCGTTTCCGGTTCATTATATTTATCTTAAGCATGACCCCCCATTTGGCGATTCCGGTTCATCATATACCTTGAACACCACCTCCCTTCTTTGGCGATTCCGGTTCATCATATTTCTCTGAAGCGCGACCGCTCATTTGGCGATTCCGGTTCATCATATATCTTAAACACGCCCTGTCATTGTGCGATTCCGGTCCATCATATATCTTAACCACGCCCCCTCATTTGGCGATTCCGGCCCCCGCCCTCCTTTGGCGATTCCGGTTCATCATATTTCTGCTAAACACGGCCCTGATTTGGCCATTCCGGTTCAACATATATCTTAAACACACCCTGTCTTTCTGCGATTCCGGTTCATCATACTTCTCTTAAACACGACCCCACATTTGCCGATTCCGGTTCATCATACATCTCGTTATATCTCTCAAACATGCCCTTTCAACTGAATGCCGATTCCGGCCCATCTTAAACCCCTTACACACACCGCATTATTCGGTAAATCAAACATAAAAGCCTGTAAAAACCCTAACCCCTTAAATCATATATAAAAGCCTGTAAAATAAACCCTAAAACCCTAGACTCCAAACGGCAAAGGCTCCGTTCACCAGCCTCTTGGTCCGCATCCACGAAGAAGACCTCTCGCATGCAA